ATCACTCTAGCCAACAAGTGCAACTTTGAATTGAGTAGGCAATTCGGGAAAAACCACACTCTATAAGTCACTCATCATGGCCGAGCTGGTTTATAGCGCAGAAGCTTAGACAATGACAAAATTCGATGAGGCGGCTCTTGGAGTATTCGAGAAAAAGATCTTACGAAAGATTTACAGGTATCTCCGCCTTGGCGACGGGGAGTATCGCAGACGATGGAACGATGAGTTGTGAGCTTGGCTTGGACATGCCATTCGAATGGAAACCGACGTTCCAGATCTGAAAGTATTCAACTCGCAATCCGCTGGTGGTACCAGAGGAAGAGGGAGGCCCCTACTGCAATGGAGAGACCAAGTGGAGAAGGATTTGGCTTCAGGTGGCATTTCCAATTGGCGTCAGCTGCCACAGTGAAAAACGACTGACGTTCTTTGTCGAGCTCGGCCAAATGGCTTAGGCGGTTCCATCGCCTAAGGGAAAATATCTAGGGACCTTATTCTTGGATGCGTCAGGAGGAACTAGGATAACATTCCTTATCAGATTGATTCTGGGGACAGTTCGTTCCAAAAATTATATAAGCTTAGCTAGGTCTTCGCCTGGAATTTCTACGACATTGTTACCAGGTGAAAGAATTGCTGTTTGGAAACGTTTAACCATTCGCGAATGCATTGATGTTGCTCTCAGGAGATTTAACGCAAACATTGCCTGTAATTTCTGGATTAACACTAGCGGGCGAGATAAATGCTTGCCTAAAAGAGTCATCATTGTGGCAAGGCGAACATACATACACTGCAGCCGAGGTATTCTCGCGACAAGTATGGATATGGATCAATGAGAGATTAAGACGAATTTTATTGCCTGATAATTTTGTAACTTAGAGACATTGAAAGGAGAACCTCCTATCGAAAGAATGTTTCTTAATTAGGAATATTAATTATAGGCTCAGTAACGAGCTATTCTTGCTGCGAAGAATAAGGATGTCTATCACCTAAATAATAGTGGTATTGACAACAGTCGTTGCTTGAGCTGATCTGCTCTTTTCCCAGATTGTCAGGCCACTTGCTCACTTTGGTGAACACCACTAATGTTATTCAATGCAGCATTCAAAGTGAGGAAATAACCTATACGTCAATAAGCACCGTTGTGGAAAAAGACGAAGTAGTTAATTATCCAACGGAATCGGCCATATTAACGCAAACATTTATGGAAAACATCATTTGCCAATACCATCTTTTCAGTCTTATTCCGATTCTGTATTTTCCGACATTTTGGTCAAGGCTATCTACTCCACCCATAAACTTGTTGTACGTTTGGTAACAGTACGGCTGATCAACATCTACGCGCTTATTATTAACCCATCTCTTTACCTCACCGACTGGGTGAACACCGCTTTCCGTTGAGGCTACAGTTACGATATTGTTGTCGTTATAACGTACTAAAGTTATGTTGGACTTGATCTCTGTCACTTGATGGTAAGAGCCCCTTGCAGTTATTTTCATATTTTTTGCATCTTTTAGTGGTGCATCTTCAACCCTGTTTGCGCGAAGAGTCCCAGTAGCATCGTGACCAATCTTGCTGACTTTATCGAGTAAGCGCAAAGATATGAAGAAGTTATCTATATAAAAGCTGTAATGCTCTTTCTCTGGAAGCTTCGAAATTAAGTTCATGACAACAGAGCTACCTACTCCGAGATATGGGTTTGTACAACCAGTTTTAGCTCCCTGATATAGTTCACCAAAAATCAGATACCTCAGTCGTGTGCAGAGTGACCATATTTTATACCCAAAACGAATTGGCTTGCCGTGAATGTGCTGCTTGGTTCCGTGTTTTCCAAAATATGGTATCATCGATTCATCTATAGATAAATATTTGTCTCCAGGAAAAAACTTAAGCCATCTGGTATTCATCATATTTATCATCAGGAGAAATATTGCCATTGCCACTTGCGTGGAAGTAACGTAGCGGTTCTTCGAACCGGTTACGAGTCATGCGCGAGGCAACTCCTGCATGATGAGTATCTATACTATAGTCACAGTATAATCTGTATCGTGAGACAGTATTATAACCCGATAAGAGTAAAATACCTATAAAATTCTTTACTTCTTCAGTTGTAACTCTGAAATTCATTTGTGATTTGGCAATCGCATTCTTTTCTGCACTTGAGCGTAGCAGTTCATAAACTTCATCGTCAAAAAACATCTCGACGAATTCTAAAGGATTACTTTTATCGAAAACAAATTCGGGTGGAATTGATTCTTTCTCAAGCTTTGGAGTAATGTCTTTTGATATCCATTTCATATTTACAATTTTAGCTTTTTTTCAGGCGGTTCATCTGAAGCTGGTAGCGGTTGCTCGTTCTGTTCATATTGTTTCATTGAGGTAATTTCAGTAGTTTCCAAAACGCTCTCTGCAGATGGAACTGTGCATCGTACCTCGGTTACAGCTGATAATTGTCGTCGACCAAGATTATTTATGTCCCCAGAATCCTCATTTCCACTGTCTTCATTATTAAAGTTACCATTCTCAGGTGGTGTAATAAATATGTCTGCTCAAATTATAGTGCTTCTAGAACTGATATTATTTCGTTAAGAGTTAGTCTGCAAAGAATAAATGCATCGATAGTATAAAATTACAAAAAACCCCACCTATAAATATTTCAATAATTTAAATAAATCTTCCTGCTGCCTTCTGTGCCCAGCGCACTTTAAATGTCTGCTGATTAAAAACTATCAAAATCAGCCCAAGAAGACAAATTACTATTTTCTTCAAAATATAAAATATTAGATAAGTTCATGAACAAAAGAAAATGTTAATTCCGTTAATTATAACTAGGCATGGGCAGAGAACGAGCCCACGCTCAAAGAGCGTAATCATCGTGTGTACGTATACAAGCAAGAGCGTAGCGATGAGAACGCGACAGCATGCACAATGAATTTGGCACACCAACACATTCTCACTTTTAGCTAACGCTTGTTTGGGGTAGTGCCCACCTCTGATTATAATTGAAGGATAAACTAAATTATTACTTACGTTTTCCTGGAAGCCATGTTGATCAAAATTCACAAAATTTCACGAATTTCTCACACGAAAATAAGCATGCGTAATCTTCTTCAATTACTACCGGATTATGCGGGAAAACACTTTATTTACTATAAATTTCAAAATCTTAGCCTACTTGTTAAAATGAGAGTAATGCAATGCAAAGTACAAACGCAACTTATAAGGGGCGTTAGGATGATAAGGGGTAAGAATCTATTTTCAAATTTTGTAATTCCGACGGAAAAGTCGCAACTTTTTTTGGTGATGCAGTCTAATGTACATACATACATACATATCAAGCCCTAACTACCAAATATATGTAAGCGGCATTTTGAAAAATGTTTAATTTTGATGCTCTAGGAATATTTCTGCATCAAAAAGAAAATTTTGTAACAAATATTCTTACATCTTTTTGGCGGTTAGGGCTCGATGTGTGAAAATTACGTGATTGACGGAAAACCTACTCACGTACGCTCACGCCAGCAAAAATTTCCGTCACGCACGATCACGGAAGTTACGTGATTTTTCTCTGAAAAAGCGTGACACAACGTGTCACGTAGAAAATCACGTATTTTTCCCATCTCTACATTTAATACACATTTGTGTATGTGCATTAGGGTGGTCCAAAATGCATGTGAGAAAGTAAAATGCATGCACGGCACAGTTTTACGCCGACTCCGAACGGCGATTCTATTTTTATTAGAATCTGTTTTTCATGGCAGAAACACACTCGGAGGTTTGCCATTGCCTGCCGACGGACGACCGCTGTTAAGAAAAAACCTTTTTTCTATATTTTTTTTTGCGATGTTGCTTTGACCAGGGTTTGAACCCGGGTGCTGCGGAGTGGAAGCGCGCACTGCTTACCACTACACCACAGCGGCCGACATGTACATGTATTTATATGGGGGAAAAACAACTTTTCGTAGAAATGGTACAAATTCTTAAAAATTAATATTTTTCTATCGGAAAACTCTGCTTATCGCTTCACCGATCACCCAACTCACACAAGAGCTCATCCAAAGGCGCAACTACTTCGTAACTCCTTCTTCGTCCGTCTCGGATTTCGACATAACACCAACAGCGGATAGCCTTGAGAACATATTACCACCGTTATGACGTTTAACATACTCCAATTGAATTTAAACGGATTATTCAACAACTTTAATGAACTACAACTTCTTATAAAAAAATACTCACCCACAATTATTTCATTACAGGAAACTCATTTAGCATCTCAACAAACCGCCCCAATATTTAATTCATATACATACAATTATTTTTGCAATCTCCCACAAAACACTTCGAACAAGCAAGGAATCGCAATCCTGATCAACAATGGTATTCCACACAAACAGATAATTATTCAGTCACCAATAGCAGCACTGGTCATAGAAGCGTTGTTGGGCTTTAAGATCATAATCATATGTATATATATACCACCTCAACAGTCATTCAACACAAACGTCCTCCATAACTTAATGGCCAATATTTCTTCCGATATATTAATTGTAGGGGATTTAAATGCATGGAGTCCACTCTGGGGCTCAATAACTACAAACCAGAGAGGCAAAATAGTAGAACACTTCATATTGTCGAAGAACCTCATGGTCTTAAACGACCTGGCCCCAACACACTTCTCAACCCACCAAACGTTTACACATGTAGACGTCCACATTTGCTCCACCGGTATAGGGCCCAACCTTACCTGTTCTACTTTAACACATGTACCCACATCAGGTTGTATTTAGAGAAGTTCAAGGCACAACGGACGCATTACTATATTTTGAACATTTCGCGACAACAGCACTGGCGACAAAAAATCACGTAACTACACTAAGCCATGATTTCGAAAAGGCGTACGACAGGATAGGCGCTCATGTGGTGCTGGACGATGTCTTAGTTTTTACCAAATGTAAGGATTTAACGGTGATAGAAGGCGATTTCTTGCAGATACTATATAAAATCACAGAATGGTCAAATACCTTAGGAGCCAGAATGTCGTACAATAAATGCAAAATTTTTCACATCTGCAACAAAAAGCGTTGCTCACCATTAAATCTATCATACAATAATGTAAATATCCCTAATTACCAAAGCTTAAGAATTCTAGGTATCATATTTGATAATAAACTTACGTTTAGGCAACATTGTATACATTTAAGAACTACCTTAGATACTAGGCTCAACATAATCAAATATCTTTCGTCAAAACACTGGCTGGTTCATCCTAACACGCTTATAAATGCAACGAAAGCCCCGATGCTGTCAAAAATGGACTATGGTCTGGCCATTTACGGGTACTGTGCTCGGAGCAACATGAGCCGCATTCTACGGCCATATCATTCTGCGGCCAAAAGATGCATACGCGCTTTTCCAATATCTCCGGTGAAATGCACTCTGACTGAAACAGGTCTTCCATCATTGGAAGAGAGAACCCAATATAACACGCTTAAATTAATACCAAACTCATGCAGTCCAATAACGTAATCCTGCACAAAGCTATCAACGCAGTAACAAAAAGGATGAAAACATTGAACCGTCAATCAACCATCATAAGATGCATCAATACAGCGGCCGAATTAGGTATTGATTTCATGCCTTTCAAACCTAACATCAACCGTCCCCCACCATGGTTCAATTTTCGAAGAATTTATGATTCTCAACCTGACGGCCTCCGATAAAATACCACGCCACCAGCAGCATACAGACAAAGCTCCACCCAAATAGAAACGGATCTGAAACAGCAGGATTGGAACCTCTTATATACGGATGGGACAAAAATCAAGATCACTGCTTTCGCGGCCATAGAAACAAACGGTAATACCATCGCGGTGGGTAACCTACCTTATTTCTGTTCAGTGTATACGGCGGAAGCTAATGCTATACTTTTAGCAACACAATTTGCTCTCAAATCAAAAAATAAACACGCCATCTGCTCCGATAGTTTGTCAACGATACAATCTATCACCAATTCGAACAACAACCTACTAGTAACAGTTATCCGCGACGCACGGTACCAAGGGCATAATCACATAAAAATTATGTGAGTTCCCAGCCATGTTGGCATATACGGCAACGAAGCCGCGGACGTCAGAGCGAGGGAGGCAGCCAGTCAACCTCTCCATGCGGTAAACTTGGTACCAAAGAAAGATTTTCACAATTTTGCCAAACTAAACTTGGCGAGGAGAAGAAGCGAAAGTTGGAAAGAGTACACTCACCATTATACTCATAGTTGCCAACTTGGTGCTTTAAGCACTAGATTTAGTGCTTTTGAAAATTAAAACGCCAAAAAAATTACTTAGTGCCTAGTACCTTTTTTAGTGATTTTTATACCCGAGCGCACTTGTGCACAAGGGTATTATAACTTTGTTCACATAACGGTTGTTTGTAACAGGCAAAACGAATCGAGATAGATATAGACAAATGTATACATAAATGATCAGAATGAAAAGAGAAATCGATTAAGCGGTGACTGTCTGTCTGTCCGTCCGTGCGTCCGTCTGTGCACACGATAACTCGAGTAATCTTAACGAAACTTGGTATGTACACTTCTTTCGGGCGTAGGACGGATGGTATTGAAAATGGGCAAAATCGGACAATAACCACGCCTACCTCCCATATAACGGTAATTTTCAGAAATACGAAAACTGCGATATTTTAGTAACTACTGAAGATTATTCACTGAAAATATGATATTTACAATAACCTTTAGACGAAAAATAAGAATATTGTACATTTTTGGAAAATGGGCGTAGCCACGCCCACTTATGGATACATGTGTATATATTGGTAACCGCTGCACCAATTTCTTCCAAACTTGGCACAGTTGTTAGTCTTGCTACAGCATACCAAATGGCCGAAAATTTTTAAAATCGAACAATAACCACGCCTACCTCCCATATAACGGTAATTTGGAGAAATACGACTTCTTCGATAAATCAACAAATATTAAAGCTAATTTACTCAAAATTTATGCTTGCAACAATTCTTTACCAAGAAATACGTTTATGACAAAATTTTGGAAAATGTGTGTAGCACCGCCCACTTCTGATCACATATATGTATCTCGGTAACCGTTCTACCAATTTGTACCAAACTCGGTATGATTATTGTGCTTGCCACATAGAAGTAAAACGTTGAAAATTATTGGAATCAGATTCAAATTACGACCACTTTTCATATAACGGCAAATTTCA